AAGACCTGAGAACGAGGTGGAGACGAGACCTTCCCTAAAATTTGTTCCCTTTCCGCGACCTCCGGGCGGAAAATTTTTCTAAGGCGTACGAAGTCTATTAAAACCTCTAAAGAAATGAATAATAGAGAACGGGAAAACAGAAGACAAGAACAAAACAAACCAAAACAAAAACAAAAAAAAAAATGAAAAAAAAAAAAAGAAATTGAGGTACACCTGGTGAAGAAGAATTATAATTAGAGAAACTCGTAGAAGATTGCAAAGGCCTGGAAACCACTGGGACGTCGTCTGAGAATGGATGAATCAAAGCTAACAGCTTTTCACAAGGAAAACAAGGAATATTCAGGAAAGGCCTATCAAACGTTACCAGTGCCCACAAAGTGGAAGGGAATTTTAGGCTTACTGGCAAACTTTTTACCCTTTCACAAAGTCTTCCAGGTCCATATAGACAAACTAGAGGCTATACAGAACGTAGCCACCGTGGCATCTAAATATGTAACTGAACGTGCCCAGGAATATCTGTCCAACAAGTTTATTAAGGGCGCTAGCGTAAGCTAGTTCGCTTGAGGTGCGATGGCTTAATGGATAGTGTGCCGGACTCCGGATCGAGCGGTCTGGGTTCGAGCCCTGGCCGCGGACTGCGTTGTGTTCTTACTTTACCCTCACAGTGTCTCTCTCCACCCAGATGTATAAATGGGCACCGGCGAATTGAAAGGAAAGTAAAGATATAAAAGATGCCTCTATACTCTAACTAGGTTTAGAATCAAAATTAGAAAACTTAACTTATCAAACACCAATGACAGCAATTGCTGTAAACTTTGCAGTGAATAGATTACGTTGTAAATAATTCTAATTATTTTTGTGTTGTAATTTTAACTATTTTAGTATTGTAAAGATTCATTTTTAGGATTTTAGTCCTGTCGGCTCATTGTTGTTTAATGTTCCCAAATAGTCCGCTAGGGCTAATTTGATACTTAAATAAAGGTTCTTACCTTAGTGCTGTGCGTGTGTGTGTGTGGGGGGGACCCTAACCCCAAGGTGGACTGGGATGCCATCGGCCGGGGGGAGGGAGTAGAAGTACTTCTAATCGCTTCATGCTACTGAAACGAGGATACTTTCCGACTGCAAGCCGCCCACTGGCCTGTCGCAGACTTTAGCTTACCTTGCCTAGCGTAAGCGGGTACTCACTGATTAGAAACTCCCAGCAACTTAATAGTCTCCTTTTTAGAACTAATATATATCCACCGGAGAACGTTTTATTATAGACCTGTCTTCGTGTAGAACTCATCATAACTGATCTCAAAACCATGCGGTTCTGTAACAATTTTCATAATAAATTGTAAACGTTTTTTGTTTTTTTTTTAAGTTTGTTTAGTCCTGGAAAGCACCACAGAGGAAGTTAACTAACCTATTAATTGTAGGTTATTCACGCTAAAACAGCTATTTTTTTTGGAAAAGTTAAGAAGTGAAAATGCGTAAGATATTTGCTTGTGAAGGCTGTAGGCGTTGTCAACAAGTACTTATTTGTATAATCAAATTTTCATATTTATTTTTTAATTGTCTGTTTTCACGTACTACCAATTCCAGTTAATTGTTTTGTTGTTGCCAGTTTTACAGTATACAGAGCTGTTAAGTGTAATACAATGTGCGAAACTACAGTGGACGAATAGGCCAGACCAACAATAAAAGCATTTTATAATGTCCAATTCAATTGCAGTTGCGTAGACGCCTGAATTCTTCAGCTTACCACCAAAGAAGAAATGTCTTTCTTTTCTTTGGGTCAAGGGAGACACCGTAGTAAAGTATTCCTAAGGAACCAACAACAATAACTACAATTTATTTGTATCTCATCGAAAAAAGTATTTATATATAATATGTTTAACGAGAACCAAAAGTAAAAGGGCACCTAAAAATAACTACAAGAAGCTAAACTAGATAAGGTGCGTTGGATTAGTGATCCAAGATTACTCAGATCATGGTGCATCAAAGGAACAGATGAATCTACTCTGGTCACGGGTTTATCTGCTTCTTTGATGCACGATGATCTGAGTGATCATGGAACACTGATCCTGACACAGATCACCCCAAAGGAACGCGCCCTTATTTAACAAAAGGTTCTTGTCATTGTGATGAATTCGTCCATCTTGTGACTTGCTCACGAGTTCATCTCGACCTATCAGCAGGCTCAATAAATGGAAAATATGAAAGAAGAAACCGACACAACGTGGGGTGATTTTTTTGAAGGTGTACTATATTTCGGCTGGCCAAACCAGCCTTCTTCAGGTACAATGAGAATTTTACATTGGGACTTGCTTTTATAAACCAGCAGGATCATCGTTCCGGTTGCTTGCTTTAACATTTTAATAAATGGCCACGTGGTCAGTCTCTCGTTTTTTGGGATTATGATTTATCTTTAGTTTGCTTCTCTGGACGCACCGCTTCACCTGCTGCTCTACTGATACCTCATTAATTGTCAGTTCATTGAGACAAATCAATGTACTTGGAGTTACTTGTTAAAAACCTGTTAAGGTTTCGATGGAGATACTCCCATCAATCTCATCTATTGAACTAAGTGATCATTTTGCAATTGTTAAAATTACCTCAATAATTGCTAAAAAGGTAAAAAAAAACCACTTCAAGATTTATGTGCAGAGGTTATATTGACGTGGACTTTCAGTTTGTGGCCTTCTGTCAAATACAGAGGTTTCATAACACACTTCATAAACTACGTCAGTTTCATCAGTCCCGTACGTTTCGGCTGTAGTAATCCTCTTTAAGTCGGTCAGTTGGTCGGTCGGTCGGTCAATCAGTCATTCTCACGCTTGGAATTTCTCGCCTTGTCTCAGAAGAAAATTGGTGAATAATGTGGTAATGTGCTAATGATGTGAGCCAAGAAGGTCTCATCGTGTCTGCAGAGTCCCCAAACATTTTGTGGACTTTGTTTTAGTCTAAGTGCCTAAGGCATGAACTATTGCAGTTTAAGGACCGTTTTATAAAAGAGAGGGTGTGATAGTGTGTTACAACACGGTCCGTTATAGTTTAGGACCCTTTTTTAATAGAAGGGAGGGAGTGATAATGTGCTTATTTATGTATAAGAATGTATAAGAATGCACGTATAAGAATGAGCATGAATGAATAAGAACATGTCTGAGTATGTCGTAATTTATGCGTCCATAGTCAGTTGTGACATGTAACTCGACGGTTAGGATCTCTTTGTCAAAGCGTTTCTTCTGAGTTCTAAACGCTCTTCTTGCGCTGTATATGTTAAAACAAACAACCCATATTCACCATATATATACACAGTAGCCTGGCTGAAAAACTTTGAGTTCAACACATGAAATGGTTCGCCTAATGGCTAAATGGCTGGCTAGAAACAGGTTTGAGTAGACGTCACATTTTCTTTGCATGAATGGAAAAAGGCGCTTTGGATGGCAATCACCGAACTTTTGGTGTTATAATTTCCCATTTATTTTTCTTTTCATCGAATGTCATCTTGTTCTCTAAACTGCCGGAAGCAGCAGTCCATAAATAATCGGTTGCCATTGAAAGCCGGAAACAAAGTAAAAATAATGTATCTCACTTTTGTAGCAATCTCTGTAATCTATCAGTATGGCATGCAAAGTACATCGAATGGAGTAGCTGGCCAGGAAATTAATTTACCTTGATTTGAAGGAAGAGATCTTAAAACGATTTCTTGATCAACAAATATAATGTAAATCTGCTATGCGTAACTCACAGCCAAAAGAAAATCAACAACGACTCAAAAACAGCAACCGTGCTATACACGTTCCTCTTTCCAAGCCTCCAGTCGTGGCTCGTTTCCCACCGAATACAAACATTATTCATAGTTACCGTGAATAGACGACTTTCGATATATTAAAATTCCGCATGGCAGTGAGGCTTACAGGACACAAACAAAAGAAATTGAATGACCATGTTTATTCGTTTCTTTTATTTTTGTCCTCTAGTCCTCACTATCAAGCTGAATTTTATTATGTCGAAAGTGGCCTATTGGCCATTTCTGAGTTGCTTTTACCTCTGTTTCAAAACAAGTCTTGGTGCACAACCTTTCAGATGGAGATGAGTTTTTTCTTGCACGTTCATTGTCTTGCAAATCAAACTCATTTCCATATGAAAGGCTGTGCACTAGAATACGTTTTGAAAGAGAGAGAAAAAAGCAACTCGGAAATAGTTTGTTGGGAATATTAAATTCTGACTTCACTAACACGAGATTTTCAATGTGATTAGTCAAGAGACTGTTATAGTCTCTTGGAATGGTTAATTGAGGATGCGTCAGTCCGTCATTCATTCATTCATTCATTCATTCATTCATTCATTCAGTCAGTCAGTCATCTGTACTCATCTGATTCAGACGAACATGAAGACTGACCGACCTGGAATGACCTAAAACTCCCGCCAAAACCCTAAATTCCTCAAATGTGCCATTACACCCCGCGGGGCGCTCCATCATGTCGTCAGAATAATAAATTATAATTAATTCATCCCTCAATCGTCAGAAATTTCATTTTCTGCAAACGGGATTTAATTTTATATTTCCTGTATGGCCAGAGAAAGATCCTTGAGTCCCTGCGTTCTCTTTTTACAGACTGGAGTATTCTAACCGCTTAGCAAGATATTACGAATTTATCCTCAGTGTGACGTAAACCATCCTTGTCCATCGCCTCATTTCCTTCTTTGGATTTCAATCATTCCGGAAAAAACACGACAAGAATTTTTATGCGTGACGTTAGGTCGCTTTGTTTACAAGTTAGTTCGTAATACAAAAATGCCTTTTTAAGAAAGTGCTCTCCTCAAATATTTCGTGTTCTTGATAAGATAATTTTTTTTTATGTTTTTACAACGAAAACAAGTTAAACTTTTTTGGGTAAAATATTTTTGGATCGTCCTCTCTCCAAAAAGTTCCGTGGGTGTGGCCAAAACCAATCAAGTTCTATTACTATCAATCCATTGTTCATGGACCAATCGGAATGTCGCTCCACCCGCCGCTCGGTTGTGTGAGCTGTGTGGATGGCTGTGATGTTTTTCCTGTAATCCGGAGAAGTGTTTTGTAGAAACAATATTTCGAGCCTGTTCTTGAGTATTGAGAAATGGCCGGCACCACGTACACGGCTGCGCTCAGAGGAGGTGGTCCGTGGGGTTTTCGACTACAAGGTGGCAAAGATTTCGGTAGTCCATTGGCCATATCAAAGGTAGAGCCTCGACAAGAGTGCCTGCTGTTGATTTCTATGGTTGTGTTCGAGTTTTCTGATCGAGTTTTCCATGCTCTCTTTCCATTCAGGTAACACCAGGCTCCAAAGCTGGTGTTAGTGGAATAGCATCAGGGGATTATGTCTTAGAAGTGAACGGGTTTTCATCGGATAACATGACTCACTTCGATGCTCAAGATGCCGTTAGAAGGGCAGGGCAAAATCTCGACCTACTTCTTCAAAGGTAAGTAAGCTAACGAGAGAAACAACTACATTTGCAACAAAATAAATAGTGTCACTTTGCATTTGTCTGACATTTCTGCTTTTCTCCGCTCTCTCTTTGAAAATATTGCATTCTTAACCTCTCATCGACGTGCCGTGTATTCAACGATTACGGTGAAATGGACAGTCGACTTCAGCATTTTCGTATCGTACGTGTTTCACCCAGATCGATCTGTCGCACCAGGGGATAATTATACTTCTATATTTGCACGTCCTTGACGAGGGGAAAACGATTTCCTTTGAGCGGAATTTTATTTCGCTTTAGATGCCCATAAATGGTTCCATTCCTCCACAGTGGTTACGTTCGGAAAGGAATTGTTCGGCATATAAAATCAGCGAGAAGTTTTGGGTGTTGATGTAATTCGATCATAATGCGGCTTACTTGAGATGCAGCGTAGCTAAGCTTGAATGTTGACTCAGAATTCTGACAAATGTTTGCAAATCTAAGAGCTTTGTTCGTTCTGCACATCTTTCTCTCGGGGCAAGTTGTAAAACGGGTCGAAGTTATTGTTTTCATAGGTTTCTTTCTCCATTGTAACGCTGGAGACTACTCGAGCGGAACGTTGTGGAAAGTGAAAACTATGAAGCTCTTTTAGTTGCGGGAAGTAAAATAATTTCTAAGTGACATTTGTCTTCTTAAAGGCAGAATTTACGTTCCTTGTGATTGAGTGCTAGGTCAGAAACAAGCGAGCTGTAGTAATTTATTCGTGTTTAGAAGTTGATGTAAATTTCATTTGGTTTTGAATTGCAAAGATGTTGTTTCTGATCGATCCGATTAATTTCGGTTCCTGAAGAGTGTGTTTTATTTAAAGGGTCATTGAGTCTTCTAACCAGTAATTATTGTTTCTTTCACGATTTATTACGATTTAAGAAACAAGTTCGAAAAGTGTCAGCGGATGATTTATAACTTATCCGCTCATCAAAAGATGAAAATTGCGCTTCATGAATATATCTTTGACTATGATTGATTCTAGAACATGTCAATTCCTTGTTTGGTATTCTTGTGCCAAAAGAATGCGATATTTTTGGAAGAGTTGTACAATGAAGAGAAATGCGTTCTAAAAATACTCTTGTTTATTGGAGAAACATGTAGCGATAATGTAACATTTAATTTATTTTGCTTCTGTAAGAAGTTAGGCTTGTTATTTGTGTAAATTTTTTCAGTGATAAACATCCCTTTGTTTATAACTCGGCTCTGTAGTTGTTTCGTTAAAAGGGGTTGTTCAATTGTTGGAGTCGAGCCACTTAATTAAACCATCTGCTTGCTAAGGATTTAAATTTTGGCTGTCAAATTGTCAGACTTAAAGCAAGTCTTCTCAATAGTAACATGTAGTCCTTGTCAAACTCCTTATTTTACTCCACTTTGTTACAAGTGGAGTAGAACATTATTATTTTCTTCAGACATTTCATTGTATATTGCTGTTCAAATTTACTTTTAAGCTGAAAAACATTGCTTAGGCACTGTGCAATACCCGACTGTGCCTAAATATATACAAACTATTGTCCCAAAATCTCATTTAGCTGCCTCCTTTGGTCATCACTAACTACTACATGTAAACTCAAAAGTTAAACAGTGTACAAAATACTAAGTTACATGCACTGCTGCTTATCCAGGCTAAGAGAGGTTTGTCTCTCCCAGGTTGGATTGGAATACATGGGTTCATTCCATCGGGATTATCTTTGTTGGGGGTGGTGAATGGTCCTTCAAAAACCATGGGTCTTGCAAAATTTTCTTCAAATTTCACACATCTCTTAGTCTTGTTTCCTAGTTGTTATGTGTGTCTCACAGTCTTGATTTTTGCACAAAGCTGTCTCAGTCTCGATTTTTCTGTTTGGTTTTGTATATGATGACTGAACATGTTAGAGTCTGAACGTCTCGTGGTCACATTTTAAGTACTTTGAAGTCTCGGTCTCGCAATTTTAAAAGGCTAAAATGTTTCGGGCTCGCAAAGAAACACACCAGTCTTGCCTTCTCGCATTTACCATTCACCACCACCTCTTTTGTTGCAGTTTACTGTTGATCACTTTGGCTGTGGTACAGATTATTCTTTGTTTTACCAAGGTCTCTGTTGTAAAGGGATTTGTTATTAAATCAAGGTGTCACTGTGTATCTTTGTGCACTGAATATCGTTTAAGATACAACACAACAAAACTACCTAGCACTTAATTCCTGGACATCTGAATCTAAAACCATTGCCATTAAGAGACAATTTCTTTCACACACATCTCCAGTTCTAAGCAATACAAACACCAGTATCTCAGAGGTGATGAATTTGATTCCCATTACAGCCTGAATTTTTTTTTCGGGCCTTCATTTTGTAACTGCCTTAGTTATGTGCAAAACTGCGATGATCAATCATGTCTCCATATTTCTTTCTCCCCAGTTCAAATATGTGATCTTTCATATATTCATTTGTAAAAAAAACAATTTTGTTCTCTTTATAGGAAATCAGGTCCCAAAACAATTGAAGTAACAGATGTAGTCCACTCAGCAAAGGTTGATCACAAATTCAATGCAATGGCAAAGCCTTTTGGGGCATCGTCTTCACCATCTCAGCTCTCACAGCCTCAAGCTGCCACAACTGGCCGCACATCTCCAGCAGGTGGTGGAAGCTCATGGCAACCACCACCTGTTCAGGCACAGCGTGCTCCTGCTTCAAGAACTGGACCTGTGGGTGTGACAGCCCAGCCAGTCCCCCCACCACCAGCTCCCCCCTCAGTTTCACAGTCCAGGTGAGGAAATACTATTTGTCCATAATGTTTTTTTAAAAATCTGCTGCAGACTGATACTTCATCAAATTAAAAATGGGCTGCTACCATAGCATATTTTTCTTGACAGCTGTAATTATAGATAGCTGATAGCAAATATGGGTTATTGGGCTTTTGTTGCACTACGTAATATTGCTGAGGGTTACGTCACAGAAAAATTATGTCACTCGCAGTTTTCTTGGCAACTTAGGAAACTGATTGCTTGCAGAAATGTATATTTTCACATTTTTGATTAGAGGCAAAAAACATGGGAAAGAGAATACACTCAGGGTTTTAGGTAAGGGCCGACTACTGGGTAATGTCATCGGGTAAAAGAGAACAGTCTTAAATCTGGCTCCAATTTCACTTGAAAACAAAGACTTGGGCTAACTTTGGAGGCAAGAAAAGCCAGCTGGGCTTGGAAATGAGGCAGCTGCCTGAGCGCTGGTGCCTAGGCACCAAGAAAAAATGGTGTGTTCTGCTACTCCAAATAATGAAGTACTATTAAGTGCCTGAGTACAAGGGGATATGGGCTGTGCCTGAATTCTGGTGTGAGTACTTGATAAAAAGGTGTATTCACATTAGTGCCCTGTGAGAATCGTACTCTGGCACAGTGCTCAGGTACCAAGTGTGAACATAGCCTTAGTGTTTTCTTATCTACTTTCCTGTACACCAGGATTTGATGAACACTGTCGATTACTGTATCAATGGCCAAATACTGTAATCATTACTGTAATACATATTAGAGGTAAAACTTTGGTTGTGCTAATATTGTCCAGGGAGATGGAGCTCCTGTATCGGTGGTGTCGAATTTCTTGGGTATGTTATTTGTTATTGATGTCTTGTATTGGTAATGGTTTGGTTTCTGTTCTGTTGGTTGTCCAAACTTATCAGTAAATCAAAACTGTCATGCTGCTATGCATTGAGAAAACCATTGTTGAACCTTAAGGTGTAAACATTCATACATTGGAGTGGCAAATTTACAGCAGGGGTGAACCTTTCTGTAATCTTGTGTTTTAACTTTGCGGTCTAGGGGAGGCTATGATCAAACAGACAGAGGAGTGCCCAGACCCAGCCAAGATGACAGAGATCTTGCTGACCGTTTTAAACTGAACATAAGTGATGATGGGGATGGTAAGTGCTTGAATTTCCCTTCAAGTGATAAACAATAATTTCAATGAACACAACCTTGAAACAAGTGTGAAACCAAAAAAATTCTGAGAAAAGCCTTGACAGTTCAAGTTCTGAACACAATTTTTTTCAATCAGTGGCCTTTGCTGACGAACCGCCAACTTGGGGGCATCCTCCAGATCCAAAAGTCCAGTCCAAATCATTTAAGTTACTTCAGAGACACCTTGATCACCAAGAAGAAGATGGTATGTAAAGAACATTTTATCATTAGTGGAGCGTTCATGGAACAACTCTAGTCTTCTCTGCTGTGTAATGCTGGAAAAAGACAATTACTTGTCAAAGACTGCTTTCCTGTGCAATGTTGTTCTTGTACCTGCTTCAAGTGCAGTATAGAAAATCAGCTTATATAACAAACCCAGGTAGCTTTTTCATGTGATTAGGGGTGCCTGAATGCCCACTGTGCGGAGACAAGTGTGGATGTTGCACACAGCTCCTGGTACAATCAACAATCTCTGATGATTTATCTACATTTATCTGATGATGTGCTACAGTGAAATCCAGATTTGTTAAACCTCCAATGGAAAAGAAAATTGGTTTCAAAAATTAGGTAGTTTGAGAAAATGAGGGTAAAATTACAGTGTTAGACTGAGGAGAGGGAAACGACTTTTGGCTCAAGTTATTGAGTTTGGTTCAAAAATTCTAGGGTTTCAGAAATTGGGATTCCCCTCCATGCTAACTTAATATAATGAACAGCTCTGACCCATTAACTCAGAAGAACAGATATGACTGAAATGTCAAGACTAACGGAAACTGTTAATGTCTTTGACAAGTGTTGTTGCTTCATTTCACTTGAATATCATTAATAAGTGACTTGACTGTGCAGGTACAATATGTATGTATGTAGTCAAACACCAGATACAGGTACAGTACTGTATGTGGTGTTGGACTTTAAATGATGCTGTCCAAGTTCAAGCCCTACGGGATTCATTAGGTGGTGTTCTCGGGCAAGACACTTTACTCTCTTGAATAGTGTTGATTGTCAATGGCTGTAGCATAATCAATTGTTTTTTTCCAGATCTACCTCCCCCTCCCCCAGAAGCCTTTCATGACCCAGATGATGATGATGAGAAGCACGTACAATCTCGAACATTCAAGATGCTTCAAGACGCTGTTGAGGCTGGAGGTTGGGCTGTTTTTGCTTGATTTTTAACTCAGGCTACATCTACATGTATCTTTAATTCTGACTTATATCCTGTTCGGTGAGGTGTCTCTGCTAAAACTTTGACAAAGGGTCTATATATATTTTCTTTATTAGAAGCACCAGGGAGTGTCTTTGATAGGCCAAAAGGAGACCGTCCCAAACCATCCAACTCTGCGCTTCCTAAAATGTACAGACCAACCCCACCTGTAATAAAACCTGCCCACAGTATGCCTGTAGCTCCACCAGCTCCAGTCATGGCACGACCAGGGCAGCCTCAGCCTGTCGCTCTCCCAGGGATGGTTCAAATGAGTCAACCTGTTGCACCACCTCAACCAGTCCGTAGTCCATCACAGAAGCTGCCATCATCTGCATCTCCTGCAGCAGTGTCCCCCACCTCCTCACCAGGCCAACCAGAGTGGAAGAGGACGCCCACTAAGCCTCCTCCTTCAAATCCAGTTGAGGAGACAAGAACTCCTTTCTGTGATGCCTGTGGAGAGGAAGTCTTGTAAGTTATTTAGGTCGACAAGATAAGAAGATGCATTTGGAAAGAAATTAAGTTCACAGTTACCAAATTGAAATGTTAACCATGTTGCATCCTGTTGATCGCCAGCTGAAAAAGGTGAAAACTTGTGCAAGAAATATACTTCAGATTGAAAGGCTCCCCATACTTTTCCAACCAACGTTTGCCAATAAGAAATTACAGCTTCTTCTCAGCCTGGTGTGAGAGGTGCTTGACACAGGCTGCCACTTTTCTGTAGCATGAAGAGACTAGGAGTTTTACCATTCTCACTAGACAGGATGCTAGTCCATCGCAAGTTATTTATCCCTAGTGCTATCAATATGTTACCATTTTTTGGCAGATTCTTCATCAATTCACCAGTTGACATAAATATTTTCTACATCTGGCTCAGTTGTTCAGAGGAGTGCTATTCACCAATGAATAACTATCCAGTGTATAGCATAATTTGTGTTGTTGCTTTTATCCACTTGGTAGTGATTTATCTGGTGGAGACCATTATCCACCCTTTGGACAACTGGGGATGGGTCAAGAAAACAAACTGACCTGTCCTGTGTGAGCATAAACACACAGCCAGGGCTTGAACTGTTACATCTGTGCACTAACCATTTGGCAACCACCAACGACTCTAGATCAAACAGTCCTGGTTCGAGCCCTGGCAAGGGACACTGTGTTGTGTTCTTGGCTAGAACTGTTGGTCTCAATTGCCACTCTCCACCCAGATGTATAAATGGGTAGTGGCAAATTTAATACACCTAGTGGCATCATGCTACAGAATCTGGGATAAGCTTTGACCTTAAGGGTCACTTGGCTCGTACGTAGACTTTACCTTACCTTTTAATAGGGTGTGTTCTGGATGAGGAGCAATAATCAAACATCTTTCAGATCAAGGCATATGAAGGAAACTGATGAATTCTTGCCCAGAGTGGACTTGTCAGTTCCTTTGATGCACCACAGATCTTGAGCCAGATCCTGCCAAAGGAACACACCCATAGACTTTTAACAACATTATAACTTAACTTCACTTACTGTAGCATTTGCATGATGCATGTTTCAGTGGACCTTTTGTGAGTGCAATTGGCAAGGCATGGCATCCGCACCATTTTGTCTGCGACGGATGTGGGGAGTCACTTCAGAACCAGGGCTTCATTGAAGAAGGAGGAAAGCTTTACTGTGAAAAGGACTTCAATCAATATTTTGCTCCTCATTGCGACACTTGCAAGCAGCCTATAAGTGGGGTGAGTAAATATTGGTTTTGTTATTTTTATGTTCATGCAGAATAAAAAATGTTGGCGAAGGGCACAAGATCTCCACACAAGCAGATGAGACTGAAACATATCTTGTGGTGTTTATTTGATTTACAGCTGAGTCTCTAGAGTGAGAATTATTAGGAAAATGTTATGAGACTAAGTGGAAAGTGGTTCAGATTTCTTCATGGAGGTTATTCGTAACATGTGCCAGTGAATGTTTCTCTTTCTTTCTTGGAAACATCTTTTAAAAGAAAGTTCACAGTTTTAGCAGCCCAACCAACTAGGAAATTTAAGAACAAATTTATTATAGGATACTCTTGTGTGTACTTCTAAATTCTTTGACTTTTTATGAGATGGAAGAAAGTCTCCAAGATTTTACATTTTTCAGTCACTTTACATTGTCACTGTCGGCAGGTAGGTTGAAATACATTAAGTAAAACAGAGGATGTTATTTGTAGCACTAAAGTTTCTTGTGACATTTGCGGTGGAGTTTACAGACATACATATATAGAAGAGTGATTCTTATAATTCAATTTTCCCAACCTTTGAGTAGAAATATAATTTTGAATTTTTAAATGAATAGTTTCCCTCATATATGTAGCTGGTAAGGTGAATCAGTCGGCAATTGTCCAATTAGTTAGAAGAAGTGTTGTTTGATTGTCATAACAATCATGGTCTGAGGGATACTGTTGGACCTGCTGAGTTATGCCAAGTTCTGTGATCAGTTTTAGGATTTCACTTTGGTATACATATTGTTAGTCATTATCCTACTGAATGTTTGAATCCAAACCCTTTGCCACTTGCTATAAAACTGTGTGTACTTCAGCGATCGGGAAAATATTGCGCAAGTGTCCTAGACATTACATTCAAGATCATTTTATGAGTTCACGTATGTTTTGAAACCTCCTTCCCACATAGCCGTCCCCCGAGTTTGGCCGAGAAGTGTTCTCTGAAAGAATTGTTACCGAAATGGTTTCATCCGGTCCGTGTTTCAACTTTTGTGGTTGTTGCTCATCAAGCACAATGTAACAAAATGATTTCCAAGACCAGCCTTGAAAAGCTGACGATTTTTGGAAGCACTTGACACATTTGTCACATAATACTGTGTACATTGTTTGTACAACCACCAATCATATTCTGTTTAAAAGGGGAACCAGTGGTGTGCGTCATGTTTAGAGAATTTGCATTTTGGTCAGTGTCTAATCTGGCATATGTATTGCAATAATACACAAAAGTGCTTAATTCTCCTAACGAAAACCAGTTGTAAACTCAAGAGGACATCAAACTGACAATAAAATGATGAGAAAATCGCTTTGTCATAAATTCAATTTCATTCTTGACCTTCATTCCATTCCATTGTGCTAAACCTCGCACTCCAACCTCTCTGATGTTTTTTGCCTTAGTTTCACTTTTAAGAATCTAAAAAGGTCAACCGAAGCTTCATGGAACTATTTGTCAATAAATTGTGCTCGAATTGTGATATGAAGGGGTCTTCATGTTGTTTACTTCAATTCTCACCACTGGTTTCCTTGAAGTTGCACAAAATTCACATATTTAGTAGAACACCAGCATTCTCACAGTCCTTTGCGCTAAATAATGGACTACGTACACTTTTACGTTATTAGGTACAATTGTATATTCACACTTTGCTGTGATTGGTCGAGGCCTCGTTGGACGTGGCTATTTATCACGTGGAACGTCATCCACGTGACCTTGTGAATGATCACATGTGTAATTACATGATTACTGTAGATACATTTGAAGAAATTATATAAGAAGAAATAATTTCTTTTTTGCTTAGCTGTGTAAATCTTAAGACTGGAACATTCCTGATACACAATGCAATAAAAGTGGAAATATGATTTCTGAATTTTGCAATAATTATTGTACACATACGTATACCATACGTGTATATTTGCAAAGTTTTCTTGTTTTCAAAGTGCTTTGAATTTTAGTATCGTAGCTTAGGAATTTAAGCAGAATAATGTTAAGACATGACATACATGCAGTGTTTTTTCGACGTAATAGAGAGTAATGCTACTAGGAATTAATCGTTGGATGTTGTCCTGCAGGAATTGTAACGCGAACTTTTACAATATGAAAATCATAGTGAAGTACTTTTTTAGTGTAGACTGTGTTTAACCCAAAGTATAGTCTTGTATTGTGGAATTAATAAGACTGCGTTTTTGTGCAGAGTAGCTATGGGCATGTTCACATGCAAAGAATAAAAATGCTGTATACATGAATGTACTCGGCAAAATAGATGACTTTTGTGAAATTATCAATGAAGTGTGTAGCAACCAGCTGCTGACAAATTTTGTAATATAGACTTTCCGTAACCAAAGCGATAGGGTTGGTAGAAAGAAGTCGAAAGACGTCAATGCATAAACCAGCACCCAAACAAACAAAGAAACAAACAAACAAACAAACAAACAGACAGGCAAACAGATAGACAAACACAAAAACAAACAAACAAATTAAGAAACAGAGAAGTATGCAAGTAAGATATCAAACAAACAAGCAAATTAACAAACACGCAATCAAACAAGCGCACCAAGCAAAGGACTCAAAAGTTTGATCAGTACAACAGAATCAGAGTTTTAATGTTACATCAAACTGTCTCGTCGGGCGACAGTGGGGGTCATGGTCGAGGTTCTTTATTTGTATGTTTCTGCTTCAACACTAGCACTGCACTTAGAGTAAGATATGACACCTGCAACTGCACTTGAAAGTTACTCCTAATTTGGCATGCTGGAATGGTACAGAGTTGACTGGATTTATTGATGTATGGTCATTCAAGGCAAAGGTTGATGTGAAGTGGGAGGAATCCTTACAATCTTTGTAATCACTGGAGTACTTTTCTTGAGCCCATGACTGAATCGTTTGTGGCCAGTGGCTAGTGTACTGCGAAGCGTGTTCCAGCAATTATGTTGTCTCATGAAGATGGCTGTTGGTACTGACCTCTCGAGCGCAACGTTCTACCCAAATGTAGTAATCAACAGAAGAAGAACCAAAACAGTTAATTCAACGTTTACTTCCCAAAAGTTACTTGCAACTCGATCCACACTCATCATCACAGCTAGAAAAGCCTCATTCATGCGCTTATCACAATGTTAAAAAGACACAAGCTGTAAGGAATAATAATAAACGGTCAGCGGAAAGCATGTTAAGATCTGTATCAAGGCATGCCTCATTTTAACGTCTCACTAATGTCATGCTCCTGCACGTTATGGCAGTCGAATGTTTGATGCACTTAATTGCAATAAAACTATCAAACCTATCATTATTATTCCTATAACTTCCAGCCCGACCAAATTCGTGACGAGTTCATTGTTATTCCCCCCCTCCCCAACTGATGGTCACTTAAGACTCGAGTGGAAACGTTCAATACTCGTTAAATGTCTTTGGTTGTTGTTTTTTTTTGGGGGGGGGAGGGGTGGGGTTGCAATTTTCGCGCACCAGTAGTAATCGTTCAAAGACCCTGATATGGAAGTTTTCGTCCAAATCTTAAACGTGTCTTGAAAGTGGGATGACAGTTAACTCGAGACGAGAGATGGTTGTGGTTGGCAGGGCGTGTAATTACTAAAAGCACGTCTAAATTAATTGCAATAACTGCACCTCACCTGCACCGCACTGCACGGCATCACCGAAAGTTTCTTCGTGAAAGTTTCAGCAAGTTCTTTCAGGGATCGCTCGGCCAGACTTCGGTGAGAGTTCCGTTAATCTTTGCGTAGTCATGGTAACAAACTTAAAGGACGTGATGGTATGTGTGTATTTTTCTAAATTTTCAGCCCAAGAGCCTGCACGCGTGTCCGCCACCGGTACCTCCCCCCTCAAGTGCAATGTTGAAGGCCATTCGGGAGGCGTCCATAAAATCCAAGAACCCTGCGGAGGCCGCTGTAAAATCCAAAAATCAACAGCGCGTGAACAAAGCGCTGACCCTGAAAAAAGACCCACAAGAAAGTCACTCTAGATGGGGGCGGAATAACTCGTATTCTTCTTACCCCACCCCTGTGTACGGAATTAGTTACCCTCGAAGAAGTAGCAGCAGCTCTGATATAAACAGCAACTGGCCGGCCTCTTCGGGCATCAGTAATGTAACAAGTTTAGGATCGTTGGAGGTACCGACCTCTGAACCCGGAATGGGATCCATACGCGATAAAGTTGTGGCCTTGAAGGAGGCTCTGCGTGAAGCCACCGAACGCCAGGGCAAAGCCAAAGAAGGAATCCCAGAAGCCAACAAACGCTTCCAAGACGCGAAAAAGTTGTTAGCGAAACTCGAACGCAAGAGATTTATAGCTGAGGATAAGGTTATGAAACTCGAAGAGCGTATTCGCTATCAAGAGGGAAGGCTGGATAGCAAGTACAGAGCAATGTCAGAGAACTGGCAAATGAATCACAAGATCGAGCAAAAGAAATCCGAAGACTTACGAAACATCAGGAACATTGAGTACGAACTGACAGAAGTGAAAGCTGCCAGGGAAGCGTCCGTGAAACGCGTCCACGATGCCACGCGCCGCGCTGTGCTTGTCCAATCAGCGCATCAGAAAGCGGAAGACCGCAGGCGTGAGCTGGTCACGCGCAAGCGCAGTCTTCAGGAGATGTTGGAGATGTACCACAAGCGAATCAAGGAGCTGAGGAACAAGACGAGAGATAAATCAGCGCAAGTAGAAGACAAATTCCTACGGATGAACCTAATGGAAGACTATATAGCTGACAGGAAGGATCGGTTTGCAAGGGCAGAAAGAAGGCTACTGCCTTTAAAGATTTATATTAATCAACTGCATGATTCCTTAGAGCAAGTGAGAAATGAAACGCGGCATGCCGAGTATATTTTGGCAAACTGTCAACAACGGCTTAAAGGACAAAAATACACTTATTATCCATACGATAAATAGAAGGATAAATTTGACTCGTGTGTTGTGTCTCACATTTACGGCCATGGATCGTCTCTTTTGTCTAGAAAACTAAAATTTAAGCATTTAGATAGATCTAACTTGTTCAAATCGATCTTGAAGATCAGGAAATAATTTTTTATTGGGTTGTTGGACGTCTTTTGACTTTTTTGGATGACACGTAAAAGGGGTCCGTAAACGATGGAAGAAAAGTAATTAGAAACTTTTGCCAGCTGCAAACATTATCATGTGTTCCCTGTAGTACATATAATTGGATTACAGGGACCCAGTTAAGGCATTTGAGTTATTTTGGCCACGTATGAAAGTTACCTTTAAATTGAAGGAGGCCTGAAAACAATATTTTACTAAGATAGAAAAACACCAAAGAGATAATAATAAACCATGAAGGATCAAGGATCGTCGGAAGATTAACACGGTTTACAAACGCATGCGCATACCATGACGTAGCTCCTTTATGTCGTATCCACATCGCAAAAGTCGTTCCTGTGAAAATCTAGTCATTTTACGATTGAACTTGGAAAACAAGTTTATACTTTTAAATGACTTTACGGTTCTTATATTTTCTGCTGGCTTGCGCCATGCAATCGTTCAGTGTTCAAATGACAGGCCGTCTTTAGTCTAACGTTTCGAAATACCTAGCTTATTGTTAGTTGTTCACAAGTAGCTGTAAATATTCGTATTACTTTACTTCACCCGTAGTAAAGTAGATAAAATTATTAGTAAAAAGATAACGTTTTTTCACTGTTGGCAAAAACTGGTGACCAGTGCAGTCTTAGGGAGTTTTTTATTATTTAAATTTTGTAGGTGCTGCATCGATGTATAACATTTGCACAGGTCACTTTAAAATCAGTTTTATATTTTTAACGTCCTGAGAGTTCTTTTTTTTTAACAAATTACACAAATAGGTAATTCTAGAAGAGTGCAGAAATTATCTAGTAGACTGAAAAAGTGTAGGCTCATTTGAATGAAGCATAGAATATTTTACCTACTTACACAAGTAGTTTTGTAGTTGTTGAAAAGCTAGTAATGTGGATTAGTGTTAAAAGGTACATTTTCATCATTTTTCGTGCCGATGACAATTAGATGTATTCAAAGTGCTCAATCATGTTTTAAACTTGTTTTCCTGAAATCTCGACAGTAATTTATTTTTTGCTATCTGCAAGATGCATGTTTTCGTAAATAACATTTATATTTTCCTGCAAGAAATAATATATAATTTTTAAAGTGATGATATTTACCCAGCAAATACTATTTATTTTTGGCTTCGTAAAAGAAAGATCCTATTTTTTTGGCACGTTTAATAATGCATTGCTTTTCTGTAACGAGTCAATTATTGCTGTTCATTAAACTCAGCTTTTCACAATTCCAGAGTGACCATTGCAAGCTTCAGTTCTGTAGTTGATTTGATCGGAGCGGTTCGGCAATCTTCGTAAGTCGTCGGAACATTTCCGGAGAGTATAACTCACTCGCATTTTTGGTATCTTTGGACATGAACGTGCACGAAATATAAACTGGTTGTGGAAAAGAAGCAAACGATGAAGCTAAGACTTCTTCCATACGTACTCGTCACGCACCACTACTCCGTTGTCACGCAACAGTCTCCAAATTCGATGTAAGTTCGGCAAATTATACCTCTGTTATCTAATGACCTTTCGTGTTGTATTGTGCTTGATGACACAGTGCAGGATCGGATCCCATTTGGACTAATTTATCGTGCAATACCACAATGTGTCTCCCAACTGTCTGAGACGGTATGCCCTTCTTCGCATAGAGAGAACATGAACCGTTCGTATTCTAAGGCTTTAACTTCGAACCTCGTAAAATGCTCCCTAACTAAATCGATTTTCCGGTTACAAATTCACGCTTAGGTTAACTATATTTCACGTACAGAAGTGGAAACGTGACACAGTATGGACTTGGGTTACATTGTTACGAGGTCACGTTCGAGTAGCGCTCGCTTAATGACCTCTTACTTTTCACAGCCTTGTGTTCAAGCGGTTGGCAAGACTTTCCATCCCGAGCATTTTATCTGCAGTCACTGTGGTAAATCCATCGGGTCTGAGGGCTTCAATGTTGATCGAGGAAAACCTTACTGCGAAGAGGATTACAAGAAACTGTTCTGTGTGAAATGTAGTCTGTGCAAGCGGCCGATCGGCGGCGGAGAACGATGGGTGGAGGCCATGGGTGAACCTTGGCACGCTTCTTGCTTTAAATGTCAGGTAAGATTTCATGTACGACTACATCAATTGTCCTCCTATCACATCACATTGAAACCCAACTAAGTCGCTGAATCTTTCTAATTTTGTTTTGTAAAGTAGAACGCAAGACCTTTTTGTCGACCATAATTGTCGGACCGGATATGACGGCTGTCGTAACGTCACGTAATATATCGAACACGAAAGACCGTGGTTGACCACATTTTCAAATGCCGAGAAGAGAGTTGAAAATACGATGCGCAGCGGATTTTTTTTTGACGAACTTCGAGGTACTTTTGGAAATGTGGTCAAACACTGTCCTGAGTGTTTGATATATCTTCGCAATCGAAACTAAAGCTAAGGAGAAAACGGAGAAATACAGTCGTAAAATTCTATGCCAATTAACATGAGATATCCAAACACCGTCACAGTCATAATTTCCTTTGTTTAAACTTGATGAATTAATGAATGAAGTTTGCAATAAATAATAAATGCTTTTTTTTACAGCATCCAGGTTGCATCAAACATCTAGAAGGAAATCAATTTTATCAATATGGCGGCAGGCCTTACTGTGTGCTGCACGGCGCTCCTTAAATCACTTCAATGGAAAGGAAAGCAAGGGGTTATCTCTGCCTCACCCTACCCCTGCTAAAGAGTAATAAGCGTTATTAATTTGCATGATAATTTTCACAGCTTGTAATAAATTATGCAGATACGAATTGGGGCATCAGGTCGATTTGTAATCTGTATGTGATAATTGAACTTTTGATAGGTAAGGTTTTAATTATCAAACTAAAACAAACTCAAAAAAGGTAATGGTATAATGTTTGTATAACTAAGTGTAGTTTAATCAGATCTTTTTATAGTTAAGTCAACAAAGTGTAGTTAAGGTATAATCAGACTAAGGGAGCATCAGCCGATAAACGAAGCTGCAATCTTCAGATGTCAAATTATTTCATAATTTTTCTTTGCTCCTTGTGAATCGTTCATTATCCATCCGAAGGGCTTCTTTGAGAAATCAGTGAGCCCGCAGTTGTGTAATTTGTTGGTTAGCGGGGTTGCCATGCGACGTAGCGTATTTTTGCAGTAAGATGACATCAAGGCACCCCCCGGAATGTGCTTCGATGGCGTTAGAAAACTTTAGAAGGAAACTTGACGTGAAGAAGATTTTGGTTTGTACATGTTGATGCTCCCTCAAAAAAATCTTGGTCAGAGAATTTGAATTTACAGTGTTGCAGCAACTGTTTCTAAAGTGAGCTGGTAGAACATTAATGTTAGTTTGGTGATCAAAGTTTTAGCTTAGTTGGTGGGGGTATAGGGCTGTTAACAGAGCTCGGGTTTTCTTTTGATGTCTTACAAGTATTTGTTTTTCCTTTTTTTGTTTGTTTGTTTTTTTTGCGACAATTACAAAACAAAATGCTCAAATTTCAATGCCATGTTCGGCAATACAAAATCCCGTTTGTTGTTCCTGGAGATTTTTATAGGCAGGTACCTATTCCACCTTGCATTGACATCATGCTGCAAATCTCCTAAAAATTTTCGACCCAAAAAATTGCTTGAGGCAATTGTCTCAAAAGCGAGTCAGTTGTCTCAAAAGGACCAGTTACGTCATGGAAATCTAAAGCCAATAGAATTTCGAGTAGGTAATAAAGTAGGGTGACCTTTGTAACAAGCAAACATTGGACAAGGCTCGGTTCAAATAGATATTGATTTGACTAGAGTAGTAATTTATGTTGTTTTTCCCTAAGAGATGACAGTTAATATAAATGAATTCTGGGTGTTAGGATATGTAGGTAGTTAGAATTTACCCAATAGTCTATATGATTTTGAACGGAAGGCGAGTGTCCAAGAAATTTCTTAATGTTGCTCAGTCAGAGGCTGGTTAGGTGCATCGAAACAATTATAGGTACAAAAAACACTGCTTTTCCCCTTTCACTCCCACAGTGGCCACGTTCAAGTTGATAAACTTCGAAGTTAAATCTTGCGATGCTGTCAAAACGACAGGTCCTCTTAAGAGAAGTGCCCAGTAGCTTTTCATTTCATAAATGGTCACACACTAGTATTTCATTCACAGACCTTACAGTTGGAACAACGTTACTTTGCACAGCATAGTAACTGGTACTGTACCACGTTAAAATACTGCTCCATAGCTTTCATTTGAATGGTTACACATTTGGGTTTTATCAACAGACCTAAAGTTAGAACAACCTTGTGCAGAATAAAAATAAACGTTACCACGTGAAAGTACTACTTAATAGCTTTTATTTGAATAGTTACACGCCAAGGTTTCATCTACAGTTCTTAAAGACAGAGCAACCTTGTACAGCGTAATTAAAAGTATCAGACTAAGGTGCCGCTCAAAAGCTTTCATTTGAATGGCCACACGCTATGGTTTTATCCACATTCTTAAGTTCAGAATCCCCTTATTGACGTGGAAGTGAAAGGGCTGGAAAGCGCGCTGCCAACTAAGTGGGTTCTTTTTTGAACTAATAGTAAACATAAGATAAGCCCGCGAGAAACATTGCTGTTTGACGTATTTCTTAAAATTTAACTTTAATCTGGGGCTAGCGAGGAAATTTGCCGGAAAGAAGAAATGCCGAACTGCTGTAGACGGGTTTATGATCAAGTTGATCATGTTTTTCCAGTAAGCTGTAATTAGTTTCTGTAGTCAAGATGACGAGGTTATTCTATAGTTTTGTAATGCGTGCATGTCGAAATTAAGGCAAGTAGTTTTTCTCCAAGAACGAAGACTTGGGTCTATATTTCTGTAATAAAGTTACAGTTCAAAGAACGCTGTGTCAAAATGGTTTATGTGGGTTTGTTTTATGTCCATACTGCGTCCGTCGAATAACTGATTGGTATTAAGTTAGTGTTGGTCTGATTTTGCTCTACGACCAGTGAGGTCTGTTGACGCTGAGTATTGATTGAAAACAAAAGGCTTGGTTAAAAGAGCTTGGCTGTGCATTCTCTCTCCTGTGAAAATTGAGAGAAATTGTCCCTCGTGGGAAGGTCACCCTCCATACTGAGGCACCCCGGGTAAAAAAAAAAATTGTACTTTTAACTGTATCAAAAATCGGAAAATGGCCCGGGAAGGAGGAGAGGGAAGGGTAGGAGGGAGGTAGAGTGGTGTGGTCATGTAACCCTGGGTGAAGGGCCACTCTTGACTTCCGTGTCGAGCCAACACTTTCAGTGTAACCACTTACGTGACGTAAGCTATTTTTGACTCGCAAAAGACGGAACATAAAGAATGTGCCAATTCTGGACTAGTCGGGAGGGAACTTTATACATATAACCGTGATATAAACGCTTAGTTAAAGATGTACCTGGGGTGGGGGGAGGTTGCCCTCCTACCACACACAATCTCCATGCACCCTTGCCTTTTTGCTGCTTTGTGATAATTGTTCAGACCAGTATGACTACCGTTTTCTTCATCTCGTCGATCGTACCGAACGTAACGATCACAGGCTACGGACCACTAAGGTCTATAAACTTGAGTCTAAACTAGGTCTTGGTGGGTTGATGTAAACTCAATGTTTCCCATACTGCATTTGGCTAACGCCAACCTCTTTCCCAGGGTCTCTCATCTTGCCGCCTTCCCGTGTTTCTGGTCATGCTCAGTGAAAAAACCTGTAAAACTCACCAGAGACAAAACAAATAAAACAGAAAGCTTAAAACAATGCAATATAAAGCACGAAAACAGCGTCTCCGAAACAAAAAAAACTTCAGAGGTTTTCACACCGCGGTAAAGACTGCGCGTGGGAGGCGCGGTGGCCTTGTGGTTAGTGCGCTCGACTCCAGTTCGAGCCCTGGCCGGGGACATTGTGTTGTGTTCTTAGGCAAAACACCTTACTCTCACAATGCCTCTCTCCACCCAGGTGTATAAATGGGTACCGGCGAACGTTACGCTGGGGAGTAACCCTGCGATGGACTAGCATCCCATCCAGGGGGGAGTAGAAATATTCGTAATCGCTTCATGCTACTGAAACTGATGGGCCACTTGGCTCGTATGCAGACTTTGCAAAGCCTTTTGTAAAGTTCTAGTTTAAGAGTTATGCAAGCGCTGTATTGCAACAGAAATGATAGGAATAACGAAATATTAACGTTGATAGATATACTGTTTATTATTTTGTTTTAAAGGCACTGGGGTTACAACTAATTTATTATCCACAGTTATTGTCGAAAGTGATAATTTTTTTTTTAAGTCCCTGCATCTGAAGCAAAGCGAACAGATTTATTTCCCGTGGTTTGTTCATCTAGCTGGGTTTGTTGTGACTCAATATCTCCCGAGGGACTCTGAAAGATGAACTCTCCAGTAAATGTGTTTTTTTTCCTGCGCGCATGCGCTGTGCGTGGGTTCATTAGAGGCCTGAAAGGATCAACACCAGCGCTTTGTTTGACGCTCATCTGTTGAGTCTGTGAAGTGTTCTCGCTTTCGCTTTCCTTTCGTATGGTGTTGTCCCGTTGAATCTCCGTGATGCTGCTCCTTCTCTGTTGTCCAGCGATCGTAGCGCCCTTTGACCCGAAGTCTTTTGACTGTGCAGAAGTGTCTCTCTTTTCTTTCGAATTGGTCACCGCTTTTGCCATGGAGTTTTCGATTAGCGACGGGTCGGATTGTGACCTCCTCCTTGCATTGTTTCTCACACTTAGCATTCTGTTGACATTAATGGTTTTGCGCGCGATATTTCTAAACGTTTGCCTTCTCTGCCCCTGTGTGGATGCTTTTGCGTCTTCATCATAACCTTTCGATTCGCTTGTCGATTCATCGCCGCCTTTATTTTCCTCGTTGTTCGTCACGTTTCCTTCCCCTAGAGAGATCGGTTTGTGCATGTTATGTATGGCCTCTGACGAGAGCTGTCCTTTCTGTTTCAAGCCTTTGAGCAAAGCTGTTGCTATAACAGAATGACCAATTTGTCGAAATTTGCCTTTGATTCTGAGTGTCTCCTCCATGGTCAACGTGGCAACTTCATCCGCTTCCGAATGGGCACGCCGTCCCCTCGGCGTAATCGGATGAGAGGGAAGATCGCAGGGGACAGATCGAGCCCTAGAGATCGTCGTATCAGCCCTACTTGGAGCGATCGGGCTTAACTTAGATGGCGACCGTGCGTTATAATCTACTTCAGTATCTTTACTTGCGCTCAACGGCCTGTCAAGTAGCGGGGTTTTTCTTTTCACCGAAGGGCTGCACTCTAGTGGAGGTTCTGGCGTTTTGATAATGGGTAGAAATCCACTTTTGTCACTGTCCTCGGAAACCGGCCGTTTCCCGGCGTAAAATGCCGGGGCGGAAATTTTTCCTTGTGAAAATCCTTTCTCCCCAGAAATTCCTGGTGGAATATTTGGCTGCCTTTTAGGCAGTTCAAGAACGCTTATATTACGTTGTCGCGAGTTAGTCGAAGATGTTGACCCGTTCTGTTTCGTTTGAAATGAAGTTCTCATTGAAGATGTTGGCACATTAGTGCCGTCGGAGTCAAGTTTATTTGTACAACTTTGCTGAACGCTCGGCCAAGCCACGCTGCTCTTTGTTGACGGAGCAGAAACTTTTCGCAAATTCCTTTCAACTCCAGTACTTTCAACTGAGTTGTCCTCGACGGCGGCCGCTTGTACTTTCCTCCTTAGCGGCGCCCGAATCTGCAAGAGAGTTTCTTTGACTTTGGAAATCTCTCGAAGTTCTTTCTCTAGAAGTTTCTCTTCTCTTTGGTACATACTGAGTTGTTTTTGCATGGCTATCTCGTGCATTGTATTCCTGTGCTGCGCCACGCCATCTCGGTCCCATCTCTCGAACGCTTTTCCCTTTTGGCTGCTGTTCATCTTACAGTTAAAATATACAGTCGTTCTTGACGGCGCTGTTTCTTTAGCACTACACTGTCGGTGTGTGGATTTGTACACAAACACTCCAAATAGCGGATGCTGAAACAACAGAATGTCACTTCAAACTTAACTCTAATAACGTATGTTAATAGCTTTTGCAGCCATAGCAAACAGCCCCTTGGGAAAAGAACGTTCTGCAAAGGTTACAAAACTAATTAACGACTGAACCAGTGACTGCTTTTTTAATGACGAACACGGAAAAGTATTTCGTGCATATTTGAGGCCAGAACTGCTGTCTTACTGAAGCTGTTTTCCCGATGAGAGTTATCAGAATTACAGAGCTAATTGCAATAAATTGTAAACTTGTTAAAAAATTCTTATCTCTTTCAAGCCTCTATTAGTGTTTTAGTAAGCCATTTATTGTACGGCTGGTAAATAACTTCTTTCTGTTTATGCATCAAGCGGCAATTAAAATTGTTTCACAATCATTGAATTCTAACACCATTTTTTTACGTTGCGCTTGGATTAGTTTCCTAATTGTTAAATTTCCTGCAAATCATTCGATTCTTGCACAATTTTAATTGGCTTGTATCTCTGAAGCATGAACCCGTATCTCATAATTACCAGGTCTTCTCTTGCAAATGCAAAAAAGTTATGTACAGACTGAATGTATTGTTAAGTTAGTCGATAATTGACCGAGTAAAAGAAGTTTATCAACCAGGAGAAAACTGTAATATAACTATAAGTTTTTCCCTGAGTTCCTGTTTGGAAGTTCTAAACCATCTATCCGCTGTGTTGTTCAGAGCAACACGTTTTCACCTTTCAAGTGTCTCCTAAAGATTCTTGTATTCTTGTGGACTGACTTTAAGAATTACCGATACTTCAATTTGGACACTGCCGAAAGATCTGTTAGAAAGTCCAAAGTTTAATGTTCTGCTTCGAAAACTATCAAAAACATAAATATTTCTTTTATGCCAGTTTCGTTCCAGGCTGTCGGTCAATTTTTCGGTTCCGCAAAATGAATTCGTCATATATGTAACTTGCAATGTGGAAAATAGGTTTCACAGAGCCAACAATGAGACTACATTAACAGAACACGAACTGTAATGAAAGGATCTAATTGCTCAAAGGCGCCGCATAAAAGGCTCATCTTAAGCTTTGTGACATAAAAATCACTTTAACATTTAAATGTAAGCTGGAATGTATCTGTCGTTTTTTGCGCTATTTTAATGCTCTGGAAGAATAGAGTTGTTATTAGGCCTGTTGCGATTGTGCTCGTTAAATGCTGGATAGTTGCTCACGCATTTAGAAAAATGCTAAAAAATTGCAAAAAATTTAGCTGAAAACTGGGTTGCTACCTAAATTTAGAAAGATGCTACCTAAATTTCTTGATATTTTTATATGAACGTTGATTAAAAACTATATTTTTTGTTCTTCACAATAATTGCTAACATCAGTCAAGAAAAATAGCTTGAACAAGTTAGCTTTAAAAAGTTGCTCGCAAATGTGGGCGAAATTTAAGGACACTCTGTAGGAACAAAACACCTGGTTCTTTTGACGTATTTGCGAACGTTGTCAATTGGCCGTGTTCAAATAAAGATTATCTATTTATCTATCTATGTCTTCAAACTCCAAAAAGTTGAGAAACATTCAAGAAATTCGCATAAATTGAAGTTTTCTATGAAATTGTTGACTTTTTCTTGCTTGATATGTGCTCTAAAACCTATATTTTACTCAAGCGTTGCTTAGAATGCCTCTGACTTGCTCGAGGTTTCTAGATCCGTGCTCCAAAATGCAAAAAGTTGCCCAGACGTTGCCGCGCGCGTACAATCGGTGCAGGCCTACCCACAGATGTCAGGTATAGGATCTGAAGAGTTAACACCTCAAGGATTTGATCTTTCGTAAACCGGTTTTTCAATAAAACCCCCCTCGTGTTTTGCGAGGAAATCGAAACTGATCAGTTCCAGTTATAATCATTTGTTTTTATGATGTTTTCAAGTTAACGATATTATTTGATGTAAGAGAGGAAGAGTTATTGTTTGTGGTCATATTGATTGACAATATGATCACCGTAAAAGCTCTATGACGCTATTTGACGTAGGGCTTAATGCCAAAGAAGCGTGGGGGCGGAAGGGGATACGTTTACAGTCAATGCAGCATCGACCTCCTGGAGGTTTTTCAATTCATGTGTGAGACTTAAGTATTCAATTTTTGCACACGAAGTGAGGATCACAAATCTCTACTTTTCGTAAGTTAAAAAATTCTGAGCCCTTAGAGGAGCAGATCTGAGACGTTCTATTTTCAAGCGACAATCATCTACACATGGCCAGCGACAACGGTTGCCAAATGCCGGGATTTTTCAGATACAAATTAGAGAGTAACCGTAGTATTTTCAAGGCTATCCATAGAGCTTTTAGGCTAATCGGAGAAATAGGCTAATAAATCATTCCACATAATATAGCTGTACGGACTAGCATATGGTCTAATTTTAATTTTGCGGCTAGACTGTCCGCTTTTGTTTAGCACTGGCCTGTTTTATAGTTATTTCACTAGTTAAGCCACTTAAAGGCTTTCAAAAGAATTACATCCAAGAGATCAATTTCCGCAGTGATCGAAAGAAGCGGTTATTTGCTAAAGCGACGTGTGATACCAACTGTATAATGTAACGAAAATTAATTAATAAATGACAAATAAAAATGTTTCAGAATGTTTAGAGAGGAAACCACATCAGCTGAAGCTGGTTTTAAATTCAGGCCAGGTTTCCTCAGGAGGGAGGAAAATTAAAACCGGGCCACACTGACTGAAGCCGATCACTGCTCATCGCCGGAGCGCCAGCCGTATCTGAAAACATTTTTATTGCACCGCAAAAATTGAGTGAATTACTGTAGTTCATTAGAAGATGTACAACGTGGTACTTCCTCAGTGAAACACTGTTTTTTAACAGTGACACGTTCCCATGACATTATTTCCTTGTGGTCCTTCTGGCGTGTTTTTAGAAACTACAGAAGCGAAACCTTGTAAATGTGTAATCACTGAAAAAAGGAGGACAATTTCAAAGCCTTGTTAGCTTTACGGATTGCCTCATTTATTTGAAAACAAATTTTTCAATTATTTTAGACACTTACTGGGTAAGTAGCGTGACAAAATAATTTGTGAATGTTGTTTCGTCTTCGTGTGCTTCCCGAGAAAATTTCCTCCAGCACTGATTTCCTTGTACAAGAGTGCAAAGTTTCATTCAGCCTCTCAATGATTAAATTATTGTTCTATAATCTTTCAAACTGAAATTTATTAGTTTTTTTTTTTTAATTGAGGGAGATAAGAGACTTTAAAGATAAAATGTTCGGCAGTATCTTCCGTGCGGAGTGAAGCACTCGTCTTCGAAAATACGGATTAACCCCCTTGATATACGGCTATATATGTCCGGGCACCTCACTTTCGAGGAAATTATGTTCTAAATTGACACACGCCTAGAAGATCGACAGGCAGGTTACTCACATTTTGAAGGAATCTGCAGCGAACTGAGTTGCCTCTGGGACACGTTTCTCGACTAATGAGAAGAACGTTAGTTGTTACCTACGGCGTGAGAAAGCTTCCCGTTAAAATATCATTAATAAATCCTTGTCACGCAATCATTACGTTACGCAACTGTTGGAGCAGGTTGTGTCGTAAGCGAAGAACCGAGACACTCCAATGAACCAATCAAAACTGTAGCTGTCGCAAAGCGTAGGAGAGTCACGATTGGTTTTGGTTTTACTTTTGATTAGATGATAAAGCGGCGCGTTTTTTTTAAAGCCAATCGCTTGGCGTTTAAAGCAAATTTGAATCAGACACCAGACAGTAATTGTATCACCGCTCGTATTTAATGAGAATACTATTTTTTCGGCCCAGGCCGAATATTCTATCTACTGAAAGCATGTTTCCTTCTGCAATTTAAAGAGACGCGAAAGTAGTGTATTGATTGATTGTAGATATCTATTTCAGGTATTGGGCCCCTATGACAAGTGCACTTGTTTGGGAAGTTCGGAACTAACTAATACAATTTAAAATGCTTGTTACAAAGAATTATTCAACTTTATTTGATTTGGATTCCGCTTTTTTACGTCTCGTCGGTAAATAAGTTTCTTAAGTTACATTTTTTCGGTTAGTACTTTTTCGAGTCAAAAAAATAAAATTACATTTATGGAGTAAATAAAAATACACATGTAAGACATGTTTCTCGTAGCTTTCTTAACCGGTACTTAGTTTTATAATAGAGATATTGCTACCTATGAGCAAAACGGGTAACAAGTCAAATTATACTTAAAAATAATTGCCATATTTCCTTATTTAACCTGTCAACGTATGCCAGTATTTGATCATATTTCGCGGATTCGTCATCATTTCAGTCCAGTGTTCGCACTCAGTCCCCCTGGCGTACATCATTCCTCCCAGCAGGACCCTACCGATTAACTGGTCTTCCTTGCCCCCTTCTCTGGAGTGCATAATTGAAACAAGAAGAGTACCAGAGCCCAGGTCATCCCCGGACACTGTGAAGTTAAAAGATTCGTTGTACAGTGGATCGCGCGTTGCATGATGGACTGTACTTTTCTTCGTCTTGATTATTTTGTTACCAATTGAGAACGTCACTTTGGCATATGAATCTGAAAATATAAAATACGATAAAAACAATCATCAGAAACGCAACATCAGTAGAATGGAGATCCCGCATCCCTAAAGATTTCGGCAGGTTGTCTACTGGCGTCAAAAAGTGTTTCTGTTTTTTCTCGAAATTTTTCGTTAGGGTAACGTTCCTCAAAACATCTTCGACCAAGCTACAGAACGCTTCGTTTTCGAAACATCTTCGTCCAAGCCATAGAACGCTTCGTTTTCGAAGACAACTTTTTGATATGGTTTGCATCGTTTTAGGGTGGAAGACGATTAAGAACGCATTTGAAATTATGCATTTTGAAACGAAAACATATTATTACGGAAGGGAGTTGAAAGGGCTTCCTTTACGGTGGTGAAAATTCTTCAGATGATCTAGAATGGTTTTCTATGGCATCTATTTAGTGATTGGTTCAATTCTTGTGACATTTTCAGATTTTCTAACCAATCACATAGGAGTTTTCGTCTCGGTCAATAAGATCTACAAACAAATCGTGATTTGCACTACGTGAATTTTCCCCGCGCTTTCCACTTTAAACAGACGCCCGTGGAAGAATAACAAAAATTCCTGAAATTAAGGCTCAATAGCTTTCCCCTTACGAGAATTGAAAATCATTTAAAGGAGAATCGCATTAAATAAATTTCCTATGTGTACAGATAAATTTAGCATTTCGGAAAGCAATAAATTTTCAAATACTGATAAAGAAATCGCAGTTATCGTAGAGGGCAAGGGTTTACTAGCAAAGTCATGGGCTCGTGAGCAAAGTGAATAATTCTGTACTGTCACCTGTCCCGTGGGGTTCCATTTTCTTTAGGTTGGCAGCTCTAAGAACGATAATTGTAAGTCTGTCCAGGGTGGGGTAGTAGGACATGGAAATGTGGATTTCGCCAAGTTCAGACGGGCTCTGAAACAAAACAAACAAATAAACGAAACAGAAAGTGCAATGAAATAAAAAGCAAAACAAGCGAAAATAATAAAAGTAAAAGTTATTATGAAAAGGTATGGAAGTGATATCGATAAAATGGCAATGTCACGTCAACTCGTTAAAGATCATCGTGTGGAAAAAAAGTCTGTTTCATGTCTTAACTTATCGCATGTTTATAAAATACTAACTGATATGTTTTGTCCGAGGTTCAATAAAAATCTAAACAACAGATAAAAAAACAGTCTTTGTAGCCAACTAGCAAGCATGCAGTTAGCAACAGCCGAAAATGTACCTTTGACGTCACTTTTAGAATCTTTTAGTTGGGTTAATTACATATAAAAAGCAGCAGTTTCTGAAGGTCCACACTAGTCTCGTTACAGATTTTAACGGTACCTCCGCCCAATTCCCACCATTTACCTTCCCCAAAATACATTCCCACAAGCTGTCTGTCTCACCCAATAGGTTGTCAAATATGTCGAGAATTTAAGATCAAGGAAAGTCGAAAACAGTTGTCAACCACTGATAGTGTTTCAAAAATGAATTGAACTAGATAGGGTTCTGTGCTGTCAATCAAACCAACTATGGCATCTTTTGTCACTCTTCATTGGCCGCGGGGATGAAAAACCCAGTGAGATGCATGCTGTCATTTAGCTTCATTTGTTTCTTGTCGACTTTATCCCATTGTCCAAAGCGAATTTTGTTTCCAAACAAACTCTCTCCAACATTCTTTAGATGTCAAATGTTTATCGCGAGTTTAACAGAAAACACTGGAAAAGTCAAACTTCATGCGCCGTTTGTGAGCCATAGTAAATTTAATTAAGTAATAAATAACCAATTCATCAGCTGGTAGCTTGAGAAAAAACATCGTTATATGACGTAAACAGGATTAAAATAGTTCGACTAAAAAAAGTAGCGTCACATACCTCTTCAATAGCCACAAGATCTCTCCACAATTCGACTTTCTGATATGTATCCAACTCATTCAAAGGAAACAGCACCTCTCCTACCACAGTCTGCTGGCTCGCTCTATACCCGTCATATACGGACAAACGAAGTGTACACCTCTTGAGCTCCGAAACAGGCAGATTAAAATAGAACATTTCATCAAAGTTTGGTCGGCGCGTTTTCCTTTTGCATTTGCTCTGTGAGACGTTTTTCTCTTCTGGGCACAAAATGTGTAGTTTTACGAACGGATCGCACGTTATCGCAGTTTTGCTGCGAGGCGAAAGGTTTCGCGCCTTTACCAAAGTCACCGCTAGACTTTCCGCTGAGCTGTCGTATTCCAAGTTGAACCAAATGCGTCCGAGATGGTCTAAGGGATAGGGCTCTTCTTCGACGTCCTCATCCTCCTCAAGCGCGCTTGCCGGGCTTGGCTCGCGACTAGAAACCGATCTCGATGCTCGCCCTTCCAGTCGCTCTTGTGCGTCGTAGAACATTTCTTCGCTTGACATCGGCGATAACGACTCTTCGGACGACAGTATTTTCTCAGGCAGTCGACGTAGCAACTTTTTCTTCGGCGCGTGGGGCTGTTGAGCCGTTTTGACAGTAAATTCCGGTGGTTGAACAGCGGTTTTCGCTATCTGGGAGTATTGTTTATATTTTTCGGCCTTTCTGCGCTGTCTTCTGACGAGGTACAGCGTGACAAGAAGAATCACACTGAGCAAGCCAAGAGCGACTGTTAGTACCACAGGCAAGACTGGAACTGTAAAATCAAGAAAAAGGAAAAAGAAAACTTTGTCATCTACGGACGTGAGGTGTCGGAAGTTTCAGTTCACGAAAGTTCTTATTCGAGGATCCACTCCCATTAATCCGTTTATAATACCCATGCATTTCCCATCGACTGATGCCAAATCAGTTCAAGCACACAGTAGCAGAAAATAAAGAATATTGTCTTTTTATAATCAACAAATTATCAGACCTTCAACACAGTTTGTAAAACGCAGATAAAAAATCTCAACTGGGACTGAAAGGCTAACCTTGGGTAAAAAAAAGATGAAAATCAGTCTTCATGTATGGACTCGAATAGACCTTAAGTTGGTGTGATACAAGAGGAAAATATTCTTAAATTGCTGATCAAATTCTTTATTCTTGCCACTTGTATTCTTGTCAGTGCACTGATATTTGTAACGAGAAAATAGATTTTGGTCACCACTGCGGACATGACAGAAGATTCATGATAAGGTTAAATCAGACAGACTGTGAGTGGATTGAAATTAATACTTGGGATTAGAAACTTGAACTATGCACGGAAGCTCCATGTCTGTCAGTCGCACTGAGTGGGAAGAATAAACGGAAATATTTCTGTCTTTACAATAGGTCATTTCTCACAGAATGAGAGAAATGAAGTCTGTAGATTGATCGAGAACCACGAATCACTCTCGTCATTCTTTTCGGTGAGACGTTCTTACGCCCGCTTCAAGATGGAGGCCGGTTTACGTTATGAATTTTTAAACACGCTCGTTGTTAATTTAGACTTGAAATTTTGCAAGGAGTTACTGTTTGGAGTGAGCAGGTTAGGCAGTGTGTTGGAATTATCTGTGGCATGGAACGTTTCCGTGATTTGGTGTTAATAAAAGTGGCTAGTATTCACACATAATCGTTATTGGAGGATGGCTAATGTGGACTTATGTGGTTGCGAATGTTTGGTAGAAACAAATCCGCTTGTATCAGTGGCACACGATTTTGAAGCCGAAAAATTTTCCGTATAATCTTTTTATTTCTCTCAAGCGAAGTCCGTTATTGCTTGTACCCGAAAATACAATGGAGTTTTCAGGTTTCATTTCATTAGTTGTAGAACATTATGGAGATTACGCGACACAATACGTCTGATATGGCAATACCTGTGGCAATACAGTAACATTCCTAAAGTAATGACCTTCGTTACACCCATCTTGGTGAGACAATAATAATTTCAATGCCTTATTTATAGACAGCTGCAAAGGATAAAATGTTGATGGAAGGATCAATACTACATCAAAACGCAGTTTCATGTTGACGTTCGAATGAGGGTCAGCTAAAACAAACATCATCTTGTTTTATCTATCAGTTTCCATTGCTTTTGATAATACTCTGGTTGGGTTTGAGGTCGTCCCTTTCGAAGGGTCGGTACTTTATGATTTGTTAATAATCTTTTAAATTTAATCGCGTTTTTTAGAGGGTCGTGACTTCATAATCTGTGTTACGAGTCCTATTTCGTTGTCAGATGACGGTTTCGCCCATAATGTCTCATATCTGTTTGTCAGCAAATTCAAGTTTAGGTCCTTTCTAATTTCTTGGGTAGCCAGCCAAAATTTTGGATTCTTTGTCCGCCTATTCGACTCTGACTGGCCGATTCCCCACGAGCGTCAAAGGCTAACCCCACTAGCACCACTAGTATCTTGTATTTCAGTTACCTACAACAGAAGCTACAATCTAACATGCATAAAATGAAAGCCTTTCAGTTGTTGTGATCAGTTTCATGCCAGACAATTGACAGCGACATACAGATGGCAAAAATCCGTGAATATGATTGGCTAAAATCAATATTTATTGCGGTCTAGATTTCTCCACGTCTCTCGGCCGGTCCTGCTTTAAAATTTCCCGCGAGAAGTCACAAAAAACAAACAAAAAAGATAAAATTTAAAACACTAGTTTCTTTTCTTCTAAAAATACTAAGTGGAAGAGCAAAAAGCCGTGAACAAGAAAGGAACCAAAAATTCAGAAATGAGCCAACTTTGGTAAATTTAAGTTTAGCTCAAGCGGTCAAGGCATTGGATGAAGACGAAATCGGAGAAATTTTACTTGAAAGCCACAGGTGTCAAAAACGCTCAAAACGAGACTGAAAGTGGCTTAAACGGCTGTAAAAAGTGTTGTCGGTCAATGAAAGGGTTAGAGAAATAGAAAACAGACACGCCAGTGAGTACGACTTTCATTTCTCGTCTCAGTTCACAAGCAAAACTGATGTTGGCGTAAGGAGCGACCATTGAGCGGCTTTTTAGCGAGAACGATGACATCCTATTAATGACCTATCTTGGTCGTTCTGTATGGGAGAACATTTAGATCGGCTGGTCGTGATCAAGTCTACGGCGGAGATTCTCGGCACAAAGATTCCGCTCCTTCCGGGGTAGTAAGAAGTAAAAGAGCAAACTTTAATTTGGGTTAATTCGTTCTTTTATACGCCGCGCAAAAAATGACAGGTTTGAACAATAAAACGTAATTTCCATATTTTTGTCAGCATGAAAACCTCGCTGCGCCGAGAAATTCCCTCTCCAGCTCTAAATTGTGGCAGATAACATCAAAGCAGTGGCTGTGCGGTTTAATAGCCAACGAAAAGCTTTAACACTTGATCAACAAATTGAATTTATCCTGTAAATTGGACACAACTCCATTTATTTATGTAAGGAAATCAGGTTATTTGTTATCGAGTCCATTTCTGGTGGGAGAAGGCAGACTGTCGAATTAATTTGACTTTCAAATTTGAGTTTTACAACCGCAATCAAATAAAGAGACAATTGAAAACAGAAAACAATTTTAAGAACAAAATAAGCTCATAGGCTTCGAGGTCTAAACATAGGTCGTGCTTTTTGCTGTGCTAACTCGCGACTATCCTTAGTTTAGGGCAAGTATGAATGAAAAAAGAAAGAAAATGAAGTTGGAATCATAGGCATATATTTTCTGATTGCTTTTATTTTCTTATTTTTTTCATTTCCGCGTCGGCAAGAAAGAAAGTTTATTAAAGAGCGAAAAATCTTTAATTGATGCAAATAAAACGCTTGAAAACGAAAGAAGTTTTTCACAAGCGTATCAAAACCACTGACACTGGATTTCACAACAAACTGACGACTTTCGATCCATGAATGAAGTACAAACTCATTTAATCGTTCACTGTTAGCGCTTCTTCCCGTATAGCGAGGAATTACAACTGAATGCTCGTTTATTCGGTGTTTTTGGCGAAGAGAAATGAGTTAAATGTGTAAAATTCAAGGGCGACCTTTCCCCAAGAAATTTTGTTTTCATTTTATACGAATCAAAATATAATTTATTTAGTCTTGTTTAGTGCTTTGAGGTTAATACTAAAAATATCATGGGAGGGGGTGGGCAATCGGACTTAAAGAGGGGAAATTTTCTAAATCTGTTACATAGCAAGATTTCAGACGCGATTCGGTTTTAGAAATCGATTTCAGATCAACGGAAATATCTACTAAAACGATTCGCCTACAACGATTTTTAGAGGGCATCATTGAAATATAAAATAACGAATTCATTTACGGCTACTGAGAATAATATGAATACTTACATTTTGTATCCCTCGAAGAACGGTTTTCTAGGGCCGTATCAAGGAGTGTCGAATTATCCACGAATCGATTTTGACTCCATTCGAATCTCCTCACCATCCTGGTGAGAAGCGAACTGGAAGGAAAAAATATTCCCGATGACCGCGCCGGAGAATCATTCACGTTTTGACACGCTTCGTCCGCTAGTATTAATTGTATGGTCCACGAGAAAGCTTTCAGCGGATCATTTGTTAGACTTCTAATTATATTCACGAAGTATTTGCAATTTAAATTTATTTGTTCCACGTTGCAGCTGGGTCCATAGAGCTTTTTATCTGGAAACTTTGATCTGCTGTTTTCAAATGTTCTGTTGGCCAACGACAAAACTTTTGATTGTTAATTGTTTTATTTCGTTTCTATTTCACATATTGTGACAGCTATCGCTGATTCACCCACGAGTTTATTTAGTTGTTCCATTTTAACTGTTGTCGGGACAGTTTATGAGCCGACAAAACACTACAACTGATTTTAAAATTGTATCCGGTGTAATGTATCGCGCTGAATAAATTTTTGAGACACTAGCCGAAGTTTTAAAAGTTATTTTACTCTTAAAGTGAAGAATGTTTTAGAGGCCCTACGAGAAAAGCGCTGAAGATGATTACAATCATAGTTTGACATCTTTTCATGCTACGAGCATACTTAATAACCGCGGTTCTAATTCAACGGACCTCCGGTCGTTGCTAATGTTTATGTGGTGAAAATTCGTCCATGCATCACTGAACATAAACAAAATGGCTAAATGACATGGGTTCCTGAAGCCAGCCAAAACGAAATGTATGGAAAAGAAACAAATCAATGGCAGGGCTAAAGAATAAAAGCAGAAGGTTAAAATTTTTAAACAATTTATTCGAATTACTTGATTGTCGTCTTAATAATTAAAACGGAGTGTCCGTCAAACTGAAAGATCAGGTCAGTTTTAATATACGCGGCAGTAAACTTAAAATCATGCGATTTAATTTCAATTGAATGGTTTCTTATCTAGCTGTTCGTCCGTTATCAGATAGCTGCGAAGAAAACGTTGGATTAAAATAAAATTATTTGTCAGAAACGGTAGTGCGGAGAAAGACGAAGAAAACCGAACAGGAACCTCGAAGAGAAACGCTTGCGAAACTCGCGCGTCGCGTCCGCCACGCGTTCATCGCGCGTTCTACCGTAAACGATGCCGAATTACGCAGCGACAGATACATTTAGCGACCTTCCATATACCTTTACGATATTTAATGATGGCTTAACTGTTATGGAACCGACAAGTTTTTGTCTGTTTGATGATTCTGTAGGCAGGTTTCAAAGCAATCCATTTCGTATTTGGAACTGATCCAGTCGTAATATGTTTCTTGGCCCAAAGCCGATTCTCAAAATGTGTATATGTTCCTTCTCTAGGTAAGATGTGTTTTGCTGCTGGTTGCTTTTTAAAGTTCCGCTTTTAAGCACATTGCCTCGAAATATTGAGCTATGAGGCTGCTGCTGAAACCAAAATATTACGAGAGCTTTCAATTTCCTTCGCTACATCGTCTACTTTCAGTTTTACTGCAAGAGTTATTATTATCAGACAGTTCACTATCATGCTAATCAAAAATTCGCCGGGGTAACCCGGCATTATTGGATTCAGAAATCTGAACTCACCTCCAAGAGAGCAGAAAAAGTGAAATCCAGCAAGAAACAAAACAACATTTCAATAAGCAACAGTAATGATTGATCATTACCTTGCATGCATAAACTGATTCCAACAACTCAGCCCTCGTTCGGTTTCATTGGCTAGAGAAGTCTTGATCGACACCCGATAGGCCAATAAAAGGCAATCGAGCTAAGAGGTGTTCGTTTGCCTGCAATATACTCTCAAGAAAGCAATTAACGACTCTTCTTATCTAGATTTTTTATCAGTCGTTTTTCTTTTTATGTCAAAACACATCACAAAGTTTACCGAGCTGCAGTTTTTCCACCTCTTGTTGTAACCCATATCAACCTTCCGTGAAACAAATGACTTTTATGCAAATCATGGTTCCTGATAGTTAAGTGCTTTGTCAGCAGAAAGGTTTATTCGTTTCCAAATCAGTTTCGATCACAATCTCGCTCCCATTACTAGGTTGCTTTTATCGATTTTAGATCTTTCCCTGTAAAATGTTGTTTTCATTAAAATGTTTGTTATTAATTTGTTCAAATATTGATTTCTGTTTTCTCTTTGTTTGGGGACATCTCTTAAAATAATCCGGCCTGCAGCACGCTATTCATAACTGCAGCACGCCATCCAAAACACTGTGTGAAAGTCAATCCTTATTTCAA